TCATCGAAGAGCACAGCGGTCCAGCACCTTGGGTCTCAAACCCGGTGCTCACACCAAAAGACAATGGTAATATCAGAGTAACCATAGATCTTAGAGCTGTAAACAAAGCAATCAAAGCGACAAACATCCCAATTCCGCGGGTGGAAGACATCAAAGCCAAGCTGTCTGGGTGTGCAGTTTTCAGCAAACTAGACTTCAAATCAGCCTTCCACCAACTTCTCTTAGATGAGAGTTCACGCATTGCAACAGTATTCCATGCTGGACAGCGTCTGATGCGATACAGAAAACTAACAATGGGAGCTAAACCGGCATCAGGCGAATTAACTAAAGCGCTGATCCCAGTCTTCGCTAACATCAAGGGTGTACATATCATTCATGACGATGTTATAGTGGCAGGCAAAGATAAAAAAGAGCACGACAAATCCTTGCACGAAGCGCTCAATAAAATACATCAAGTTGGCATGACACTCAACCCGGACAAATGCATTTTTCGCAAACCAGAAATCCCGTTCTGGGGCATGATCGTTACAAAAAATGGGGTTCGGCCAGACCCAGTCAAAGTGGAGTCACTTAAAAAAGCAACAAAACCCCAGTCAAAAGATGAAGTCATGTCCTTCTTGTGCTTTGTACAATCATTTGGTGACTTCATTCCACACTTGTCAAGCAAGACCACACATCTGCGCAGCCTAACAAAGAAACACAAAGAATTTAGGTGGTCATCACAATGCAACAAAGAATTCAAAGCTCTAAAACAATCTTTGCAAGCAGACACAGAGCTAAGATATTTTGACATAAATTCCTTAACCTTCGTGTTCGTGGATGCCCATACATCTGGCATCTCAGCTATCCTCGCCCAAGGGAAAAGCATCCAGGAATCCAAAGCAGTAGCGTTTGCAAGCCGTGCAACTAAGCATGAAGAACAACGCTACCCTCAACTCGATCTCGAAGCACTAGCTGTTGATTTTGCTTTGCGACGATTCCGCAACTATATCGCTGGAGGCCCACCAGTGAAAATCATCACAGACCATAAGCCACTGGTCAGCATTTTTAGCAATTCGCGCAAAGGCTCAATCAGAACCGACAGAATCAAAATGAGACATCAAGACATACTGTACGAAGTTCAATGGGAGCCAGGCAAGCACAATCCAGCAGATTATCTCTCACGACACTCAACTCCCTTCCATGAAACACCCGAAGAGTGGCAGAAAGAGGCTGGAGAGCTTGAAAGGACTGTATACTGGCTTCAGTACGGGCCTTACATCGAAACAATATCTATGTCAACCATCGCGCAAGAGACGAGCAAAGATAGAGTTTTGCGGAAGTTAAAAAAATACATTGTCAAAGGACAGATTCCTGAGCACAAATCGAGCTTTAACGAGTACCGGAAATTCCAGGATCAGCTAACACTCGTTGATGGACTCATTATGAAGCAAGACAAGATAGTGTTGCCAGAGACACTATGGGAAAAAGCCATTGAAAAAGCACATCAAGGAGGCCACCCAGGGATTAATATTCTCAAGCGACGAATTCGCAGCCATTTCTGGATTCCAGGCTTAAACAAGCTTGCAGAAAACAAGGTAAAAAATTGTGAAATGTGCCAACAATTCACTAATAAGACAACCAAACAGCCACTGAAGTCAATCATTCCATCCAGATCAGCATGGGAAGAAGTCAGCATAGACCTTTTTGGCCCTATGCCAGATCACAAACATGTGGTGGTAATACAAGACATGAAGACGCGATTCCCAAATGCAAAAATTGTGAATTCCACAGCAGCACGTCATGTCATACCAGCTATAGAGGAAACATACACCTACTATGGGCAACCTAACACACATAGAACGGACAATGGACCACCATTCAACTCCAGAGAGTTCAAGGAATTTTCAGATAGACGTGGCATTACTCATCAGACATCCTACCCTTATCACCCTCAAGCTAACCCGGTGGAAACACTGATGAAACCTCTGGGTAAAGCAATGAAAATCGCACACGCTGAGGGCAGGGACAAGACCAAAGCCCTAAACAACTTTCTGACAGGATTTCGATCTACCCCTCACATTGCCACGGGGCAATCACCAGGAAACCTTATGTTCAGAGGTGGCTACCAACAAGATTTTCCCCGCAAAGTACTCACTCCACAAGAAGTTCAAGATGCGGAATCTCTGGACATACAGCAGAAACTGGAGCGTCAAAGTTCCATCAACAGCTCTATCAAAAGAGCACCTTCACAGTTCAGATATGGCGATATGGTACTGATGCGAAACAATAACGCTAAGAAATTCGACCCAATCTTCGGTCCAGATGTTCTCAAAGTCATCAACATTGGCTGTAATGGACTGGCACTAGAGCGTCAGTTTGATGGCAAAAGATTTCGAAGACATTTTGACGATGTGAAGCCATATTTTTCCACACCACAACGTTCACGACTTTCTGCTCAACACCAGACACAACCTCCTAGCTGGTGGCAATGGGATGATATGGCTCAGACTGACAGCAATCCCATTTTATTGGATACCCAATACCCAGATGACCAGGTGGATCACAGGCCGCAGTCATACCCTGCGGTGCCACGAGCACTGAGTCGCTTAGCTGACTTCAACAATCCAGGGTACACAGAAATGTATGACTATTGAAACGAGTATAAAAGAGGGGAGTAGTGATATGTCCCAAAAGATTCACTATCACCCTAAAATACAGTGTGACTCAGTGTACTGTAAAGTGCTTTATTGTGCTAATATTGTGTACAGTGTTTTAATATTATTTCATATGTACAGTAACACATAATTTCATTTCAATCTTCCTTTCCAACATGTATCCTTTCAGTAACACAACATTATGGCACTTGTACCATGCCTTGACCTTTGCACCCCTCCACCTGTACATGGCAATGAGCTTCCTGTCTGCCGGTACTCTTGGACTAAACTAGCCTTGTGCACTGAACAATCTGCTTTAACTATTAACCTGTAATTTACAGATAAAACAGTAGTTTACTGCAGTTAGGATTATATTCTTTGTTACTGATAATAAAAGCTCAGTTCTACACCCGTTGGTCTGTTCTTAGTCAAGCCAGGCTATCTGTCAGGAAGCAATCAAGCAAGCACAGCCCTGAACATATTAATGGCGACCACTGAAAAGGCCCAAAGCGACCGACACTATAAAGAATCATAGTGTTGAATATACAGCACTCACAAAAAATAGCGGCAATTCCGTAAATAAAATTTCTGATCTTTTCAATTGGATGTTAGAACTATGAGTGGGCGTGGCTTCCCTTTTTCCAGTAAAATTGTATGATTATCTCTTTAACAAATATTTTTAATTTTAATTACCTTCACGCCCTCAAAAAATTATCAAAAAATGGCACGCCCAACCATTTGGGAAAAATTGGGCTAAAATGGCGGAAATTCAAAGCTGAAAAATATTAAATCAAATCATTTTCAGACTTCAAGTCAACTTTAAGGTATATTATATAAATAGGGTTTAATAATCCAATGCGAGACACAAAATGAATATATCATAGAAAACATATGACGGGCCTTTACATCAGGGTTGGGGAACCAGGGCTGTGACATTTTGGAGTTGAAACTAGAGCCAAGCTTACCATGTTAGATGGAGCCGCCGCTACAGGAAATTTAGTGATTTTTACTTCATAGAAATAACGAAATCTATCCTTCTCAGCTCATCTATTTTTATAAATTTCAATTTGCAATATTAATTTAAATGTTTCAAGTTGAATTCATATATTTAAAACTACAATTTGAAAACTTGAAACCCTCGTATCATGATTCTGAGTCATGCTACCCAAATCTGCATTTTGGGCAGATATTTCATGGTCGCACTCCAAAACCTCAATGAGTAGGAGGCCAGAGGAGAGGTCAAGTTCAAATGGCATATAAATCAAAACTGATCATAGAGGAAAAACATTGCTACATTTGTACAAGTAGTCAACATGTAGCAAATAAATGTTTTAAACGAATTCAATGCGATTTTTGTGGAATGGAAGGTCAGCCACATTTGACAAAAAACTGTCGCAGAAAGACACAGCAAATAAATGAACAGAAACTAAGAATAGCCAGTGAAAGTAAAAAAAAAATAATAATAATTTGATTGCTAAAACATATAAATAATGAAAGTCATGAAACAAAGGGGCATAAAAACAAGCAAATAGTAAAAATCATGGATATACAACAACAAACTGAACTTGACAAAAAAATCTCACAATCACCACTTTCAAAGAAACGCAATGAAGAAAATGTGGAACTCGACCAACTAAAAATGGATGCAATCACTTCATTGATGAAACTAAGAAATGAAAGTGATAAAATAGAAAATAATATTGATGGGAATCAGAGTAAAGATGAAAAGCCTGAAAGTCAGCCAAAGATTCTTTTGATAAGGGACTCGCAGGTAAAAAGATGTAATCTCACCACAATATGTCAAAACAATTCATATACCAGGCGGTACATTTATGCATGGCGAGGAATGGTTAAAAGCTAAAGCGCCATGTGTAGAAAATTTTGTCATATATTTTAGCACAAATCATTTAGATCAGGGGTCGGCAACCTACGACCCGCAGGCCGGATCCAGCCATTTTTGGCCCAAGAAAAAAGGTTGAAAACGACTGAGTTAGAGAGAGTCCAGCGGGAGGCCGGAAAATGTGCTTCTCAAGAGTCTTAATGATCTAAAAACATTTCAAGCTACAAAAATTGCAATGTATGATCAAAAGGGGGAGGGGTTCCCCTCAACCAGTGGTGGGATTCAGCCGGTTCGCGCCGGTTCTATAGAACCATCTCACGAACATTTATGAGATCAGCGAACCAGTTAGCATTACTGATTTATATACTGAAAACGATATGACTTTTTGTAACAGAACCAGCTGAAAAATATGACTTTTGTGATGGAACCGGCTGAGAAAAAATTTGAATCCCACCACTGCCCTCATCCTCTTTCTACATCCCTGCCTGAGATAACAAAATTAGGAGCAATATAAAAAATCATACCTTGTTCAGACTCCACTTCTTCAATGGCTTTATATTCTGCTTTTTCAAGTTCTGAAATGTCTTTTGTAAATATCCTCCACATTGAAGATTGATTCAGCGTGGTAGATAACTTTGAAATTAAAACCCTAATCGATTATATTAGGAAATATTTTTCTGTAAGGAGCAAATCATCAAAGTCAATTTTTTTGGGTCTTGTGTAGTTTTGTACCTAACGTACTTCTAGTGGGCGTAGCATAACAATTTTTTGATCTGTCAATCCTAACCCCAATCCGACTACGCCATCCAAAAATTATGTCACTACGACATCACAATCACGTCATAGAGCTTGCTAAATATACGTACAATAGAGCCCGTAATGGCATTGGCGCTGACGATAAAAAACTGACTGACGTTATCAATCTCTCTCCTATTGGAATCGTTGCGACGACAAAACGAGAGGAATGCTTGTTCGAATTCGGGTGCTCGTTTGAGTGTCTTCAGGTCTTGGATGGCAATGCCAATTTGTATAGTTTGAAGGGCTCTATTACGTCACTGTGACGTTGTGTTGACGTAATTTTTGGATGGTGTAGTCAGGTGGGGGTTAGGATTGATACATGAAGAACTAAGCATTCGTAACAGTTTATTCTGTTATTAAGGAAGTCTTGCTTACTTCCATCATGTCCAAGCATCTGAAACAATTACCTGTACCATAAATTGCTAATCCCATACCGGTACCGTACGACGTTCCTTCCGTCTGACCGTACATCTGTACATGGCATACCGAAAAATGGACATGGCTGCATCTGCATGGACTGATGGTACCGTAACCGGACGAGTAGCCGTGGTTCGTCATATGGTTAAGCCGTCTTACTGTCTTATTTACTTTCATATCCCCTAATACCTGGATATGTTAATCCTGTCATATCAGTCTTATCGACTTTCCCCTCCCACGAGAATGTTGGCATAAATATGTAAATAATCGTACAACGTTCTGACATTTTCTGTAATTGTAAACGCCTGTAGCCAGCGCATAACACGTCACTGCAGCGTCTAATTTCATAACAGATCATTGGGAACAATAAATAAAAAGGGAACACTGTTTTTGAAATGAGCCAAGGTGAATTGAGAATTTACAATCAACTCTGGCTCCGGCTCCGAACTGCCGGGGAAATTTTATCGTCAATTAAAAGTGTATTTGTCGTCACAAAAAAAAATTCACAAAATTTTTACAGAAAAGTTGTGTTGTTGTGCGACAGCAGTCGCGAGGCACCTTGTAAGGTTTTCAGGTAACGACACCTATAATGCTGTTACTGGTTTAGTGTGAAAAAATAAAAATAACTGCATATTTCAAAACAGATGACTATGCAAAAGTCGTCATGGTGAACATATTTTGACTATAACCCATAAATTATTGAAAAAATTCGAAGCTAACACAATTCTGTTAAAATATTTAATGAAATAAATGAAAGAAGGAAATGTCAAGAAGAGTCAAGTCAAGTTTATTGTGTCCAACCAGCAATAAACAGTCACATACAATAATCAAAAAAAAGTAATCATACTATTTTACTTTGGAAGGGAAGCCGCGGGGGAAGAAATTTACAGAAAAAAGGCAAATTTGGAGAAATGTTCAAAAATTACAAGGGAGACAAACAAAGGAGAACATTTACAGTAATCATAAATCAACAGCAAAAGCAGATATATAGATTTCATTTCGATTCATTTGCGGAAACTTCGATAAAAAAACTACGGCGTATTCAAGCCTTATTTGATATGCTGATAGGAACACTCGTTCAACTACTTTTCCTGTAGAAACCATTCACCATAAAACTCTGAAATTCTGACTCTGGGGAATTCAACATTTCGACTCAGACTCCAGGGAATTTGAAATTACGGCTGCGTCTCGACTGCAAGTGCGTTTACAATAGGCAAGGCAATGTTAGTCTGGTGCAGGGACGGGCAAGGTTTTTGGAACAGGAGCCAAATTTTGCCCACCTAGACTGGCAAGTCTAGACTTGTTAGACCTGTGAGTAGGTGTGACGTAAAAAGTTACATTTTATGGACAATATTTACACTGTTACAAAAGCAAAATTTTTAATATTCATTCCCAAAAGACGATGACATTTGATTGACAGATGTTAAGTTCTATTCATTATAATCTATGTTCTCCCAATCTATTACGGGAAGGTAATTTATTTGAACTGTATGAACTCCAGCAAGATGCCAAAAATATGATACCACACGTGTCAAACATACAGGACGGAAAAATCAAGAGAGAGAGAGAGTTTATTTCAGTTTGTCAAACCAAGAAAACAATATACAGTATGCATACATATATAAATATCAAATAAACAGATCGGTTTTCGATACGACTGGGACTGGGAGGCAATGCTACGACCTTTGGGGGTCATCAAGACTGAGTACGGTATTGGAGCGACTGAGCAAATTTTATGTGTTGCATCCCCTTTGAATTTTTGTTGGTTGGCCGAATTACGGTAATAAACAACGAAATCGATGCTCGAACTAACATAAAATGAGTTTTATAAGTGTACTTTTCGAGATATTGACTCCTTGCAACACTCAAAGCAATTATAGAGACGCGGCATTTTATGATGCAACGTTCAACGTCAGCACACAGCAACGCTTCCGATCCGTTCGGATTTTATTATATTTTCATGTATAGGTAAATCGATTATGGAAGGAAAACCGTTAACAGGACATTTTAAGTGATCTACCACACATAATAAATCATTAGTTTGACTGTCTGAAGGTATACGTTCGTGTTTTTATTTTGTAATAGCCTACCGGTACGTATGTTTGTGTGCGTAAAATGGGTGACGCACATACATTTCGGGTCTAGTATAGTTTAGTACCACAAGTACTTCCGTTGGGCGTAGCATAACGAATTTTGCATATGCTATTCCTAACCCCCACCTGACTATGCCATCCGAAAATTACGTCACTACGACGTCACCATCACGTCAAAGATATTGCCAAAGTATAATTACGATCGCCCGAAATGACATCTGCGCCGACGATGACGATCTTTCTCCTATCGTGATCGTTGTGCAAGAAAACTGGAGAAATTGATTGCTCGATTTCGGGTGATCGTCTACGCGTTTTGGACGACCATCCGACATTTTGACATATGCAAAAATTGTTGAGCCAGGTCAACTAGAAGTACATGTGGTACTAAACTATACCAGACCCCGCATTTCTGTGTGTTTTAAACCTTACTAAAGGTTTTGCCTGTTGTCCCCATTATTCTGTGTGTTCATTTTTATGTTTTGTGTGTTCATTGTTTGTTTCGTGTATTTTATTTTAAGGGAGGTCGAAATAAACTGCATGTCCCCGGGATAAATATGTAATTTCAGAAATTTGATCCAATCCTGCATGTCTGGTTAGTTGGTGGTATGACGATACAACTGACTGACTGGTAGTCTGCTGGTAGCTTGAAATTATTTTATTGTTTTACGGGGATACCGGTACCGTAATTCCTGCATTTTTATTTTGTGATTTTTGAGTCTACTGATTGAGTTTGAACCATTTTGTGAGTCCCCATTTGAAATAACTCTGTAACTACTGAACTAGTGAATCAGTATGGCACACTATACAAATCGGGTGACATTGTACCGTTTCAGAGAAACCCATTCTACTGATGATCAGACACCCCTCCTTTGGGAGACGTCTGAACATTGTTGTCCCTCAATATCGGTAATAATACAGTATAATGAAGTTGCGCAAACTACTACAAAAAAGCGCCATCTAATAACGTTATTATTGAATTCCTTGGAAAAAAATCTGATTTACCGAAGGAAAAAAAATTTTACAGTGGCATTCGAGAGTTTTTAGCAAAAAACAGCAATTTTGGTCATGTGACAGCCGCGGTTAATTCAGATTATTATTAAGACAAGCATGGCGCGATATGAAGCATCTGACGTGGTCCCAGACGCCCTTCGTTTGTGAGACACGTAGGGTGTTTGTTTTATTGAGCCAAAGTCTTGGAATTTGTTTAGTGTGCTGTACTGTATTCTCTCGCAGACCCTTTTTCTGAGTGAAATGTATATGAGCGTTGTATGGAAAATTAATCTTAATATGTTAAATTTAAAACAGTTTTTAGTGTATTTTTGGGCTATTGCAGTATTGAATGAATAATGGCGGACGGGAGTCAAAGTGATGTCACAGCAAAAGCAAAAAGACAACAACCTGATTGGTCACCTCCAACTCAAGATGACCAACCCCGATTAAAATTATATAACAGCTTGACAAGACGAAAAGAGGTATTCGTTCCACAGTTTGGAAACCGAGTTCTTTGGTACTGCTGTGGTCCTACTGTTTACGATGCATCTCATATGGGCCATGCTCGTTCATACATCTCGTTCGATATTTTACGTAGAATATTGTCCGACTACTTCGGATACGATGTGTTATATTGCATGAACGTCACGGATATTGATGATAAAATTATTAAACGCGCCAGACAGAATCATTTGTTAAAAGAATACCAACAGAGGGCCACAGAATTGAAAAAAGTAATTGAAGACGCTAAAAATGCTTTAAAAATATACAAATCGAAACTTGATGACACAACCGATCCTGACAAGAAAACTATGCTCATAAAAATAATAGAAACTGCTGAAAAAAGCTTATTACCTGCTGAAGAAAAATCAAAAATAGAGAGCGGCGATACCTCGTCTACAAAACAAGAAATTGAATCGTTAATTCAAGACTGTAAAGATCCTCTTGCTGAATGGCTCGACGCGCAATTTGGAGGTTTCATAACTGACAATTCAATCTTCTCTGAACTACCAAGGTACTGGGAAAAAGAATACTTTAAAGACATGGAGGCCCTCAACGTGGCTCCTGCAGACGTTTTAACCCGCGTTAGCGAATATATTCCGGAAAATATTGAATTTGTTGCGAAAATTATTGAAAACGGTTTCGCCTACGAAGCTAATGGTTCAGTGTATTTCTCTGTGTCAGATTTTGACAACTCTAAAGAACATTTCTACGCGAAATTAGTTCCAGAAGCTTTTGGCGATCAAAAAGCTTTACAAGAAGGCGAAGGAGACTTAAGTTTGTCTTTAGGAGGGAAACGATCACAAAATGATTTTGCGTTATGGAAAGCCTCAAAACCCGGGGAACCTGCATGGGACTCACCCTGGGGAAAAGGGCGCCCAGGTTGGCATGTCGAATGCTCAGTAATGGCGTCATGCATTCTTGGCGGGTCTATGGACATTCACACAGGAGGAGTTGATTTACGATTTCCGCATCATGACAACGAGTTAGCGCAGTCAGAAGCGTATCACAATAACTCACACTGGGTGAGATATTTCCTGCACTCAGGGCACTTGACTATACAAGGATGTAAAATGTCGAAATCATTAAAGAATTTTATTACTATAAAAGATGCGCTGAAGAAAAACACGGCTCGACAACTTCGATTTGCGTTTTTATTGCACTCTTGGAAGGATACGCTCGATTATTCTAGCAATACTATGTCAGACGCCATGCAGTATGAAAAACATCTCAGCGAGTTCTTCTTGAATATTAAAAATATTTTGCGAGGGACTTCGTTTACTGAACCGGAAAATTTTAAAAAGTGGGAGGAGGAGGAGGTTGCGCTGAATAAAAATTTTAATCAGCATCAACAGAATGTTCATGCCGCGTTATGCGATAATGTCGATACTCGTACTGCAATGCATACTATAAAACAACTTGCGACAACGACAAACACGTACATTGCGAAAAAGAGAGAAATAAAAATGGTCCCGGATGGTTGGTTACTGAAAACTATTGCAAAATATGTCACAAAATTGATGAGAATTTTTGGTGCAATTGAAGGTGGTAACGTGGATTCAATCGGATTTCCGTTGGAAACTAGCGGTTCCGCTTCAAGCGATTTAGAAGAAACTGTTATGCCGTATTTAACAGCATTTGCAGATTTTCGCGAAAATGTTCGAAAGATTGCTAGGGAGCATAAAGTCACTGAAGCGTTAAAATTATGCGATCAAGTGCGAGATGATGTTCTTCCAGAACTCGGAGTGAGACTCGAAGATTTAGATAATTCGGAAACAGTTGTGAAACTTGTTGACAGGGAACAACTCATGCGTGAAAAAGAAGAAAAACTGAAGATCGAAGAAATGAAACGTAAGAAAAAGGAAGAGGCTGCAAAGAAAAAGGCTGAACAAGAAGCCGCGAAACTAGCAAAGAGCAAAATTTCTCCGACAGAAATGTTTTTGGGTGAAACAGATAAATATTCTGAATTTGATGAAGATGGTTTCCCATTAGTAACGACAGATGGAAATGAACTCAGTAAAGGACAGATTAAAAAGTTGAAAAAAGTATATGACACTCAAAAGAAATTGCATGACTCGTATCTTGCGACTCTGCAAAATGGAGCAAAATAGGACTAGAGTGAATCTAATTTGAATAGTAAGTGTGGATATTTTGAAAAGAGCACGCTCCCCCCCTCTCCCCCCTAATCAGACTGAAACATTTTGAGAAAAAATAGTCCCTCTCCTCCCACTAAACTGTCCCAAATAAATTTGTAGTCTCGTACAGCATATGGGATTTTTAGCAGGGTTTATTCCGTCCACAACTTTATTCTGAGATAAGTCTTTGCTTCTGATTGAGTGCACTTAGAGCAGATTTTGTAAAACATGTGATTCATTTCTACTCCAAATGTCTATGCTCAGGTGCTAGTTATATATTAATATGGTTACTGGTGAATAGCAGTTTATTTTATGCTTACTACTAGAAAACATTTTTCAAAAAATCCTAGTTTATATATTTGTTAAAATAGCTTGACTTATTAGTTTCAAAATTTTAAAAATGGCAGCTAAACTGTCTAAACCAAATTGTACCCTAAATTTAAGTTATTGTTGATAACAGATTTTGTTTTAAATAGTTATGAATGAATTGCTACGCAAAATATTTCCCCTTGATGTTGTTATCTTCCATTGACTCTGCATTTGAGCTGTATTAATTAGGAATTTGGTGAATTTATTCAAACTTGCTGAAACTCGATCGGGTGAGACTGCTTGGGTGCCCCCCCCCTTGGGTGCCCCTTCTTTTCAGTTCAAATCCCGCCAAAAATATAGTGGATCCTTGCATATCAGTGAAAGTCGCTATGAAAAATTGGCATAATATATTTATCATTCCTTTTCTATTTCTTGTTAATTTTTAGAAAAATTTAAATCTCATCCTGACATATATGTAGTTTACATTTTGCAATTTTTTGTCATCGTATATCTTCCTATAACACAGGGTTTCCCAACCTTTTATGGTTCGTGGCCCACTCCCATATGCTTTTAGCACTCATGGCCCCCCCTGTCCATCATTACAGTTGTATTTATAGTGCTATTTTATTGATTTGTAAATTCCGAATCTCATTAGGTTCAAACAATTCATGCTCAACAAAGTGATATAACCTTAAAGCAATGTAACTGAACAGGAAATTTTCTTGTAAGGGGAAATCAGTTTTTTTTTTCCCAGCCTGGAGGGGGGGGGGGGGCTCCAACTGTTCTGTGGCCCCAGGTTGGAAACCACTGCTATAACACAAGGCTATAGTAAAATCAATTTAGCTCATGTCACATTTCAAGGTTTTGATAGAATCACATTTTTGGAATAGTTTGGTTCTCACTTCTCACAGCCAAATCTAATAAAGGACATAAGGCACCACCTATCAAAACTAAAATAGATACAGCTTTAAAACCCAAACCAAAAGACAACCCTTGGTCTATACTAGCAGAAAATCAAAAAGATCATTTCTGACAAATGTGTAATAAGTTACTTTGGGTTTAAGCTAATCCTCACGATCTGACGCATGCGCGACGTTTCAGACGTTTTGACGTTACGAGAGACCTCTTGAAAGAGGTGTTTTAGTTTACGGTCCTCCAGTGACATCTAGCGTATAGTACTCTAAAAGACCTTTCCAATGGTATATAATTATTGTATATTGGGTCAATTTTGGGGGTCGTATGACATTAATAAAAATGGGTATACAAAATTGGGCTCGATTGGGAGTCTGAAACAGGTTAATGTAGCAATATGTTGTATATTTGTAATCTTTGAATGACAGTGGGATATTGTCTATCATGTTCTTGTGTCCTATTTATCATTTTTCATTTATTTTACGTAAATAGCGTTCTAGAATGGTATGAGGTGGTTAGGACGGCTGTAGGAATATTTTTAGAAAATTTGAATTAACAGATATTGAAATGTTAAAAATAGTAATTTATTCAGTTTTATCAATTTCAAATCTTTCGTAGTTACATATTTCATAGTTTGTGTATACAATATTTATGTACTGACTAGAACAGGGGACGGCAGCCTTTTGTCGCTCGCAAAATTAAGGGTTGCAAGTCTTGGTGTGCCGCACATATTTTTTAGAAAGTTAAAAATTGAACAGATGGCTATTGAATCATAATTTTTCCACACCGATTAAAAAATTACAAATGACATTTAATGTGATACTGTCTTGATTTGCATCACGTTTGATAGCTTTTCGACATCGTCGCCCACCTCTGGGCTAGAATATCAATTCATTGCCTGGGCATTTCAAACCGAATCAAACAGTACATTTTACTAATCGGCGGAAATTTCATTTTACTGGATCTCAAGACCATTATTGCTTGAATATAATAATTATGCTGCCATATGCATCAATGAAAATTTGCATAATTTGATTGTTTCATTATTTTGCTAATTCATGATAGATTTCCCGCATTTATTAATATTAATAAGTTTGAATCTTCTATGTAATTCAAGATTCTTGTTGCATACTAGCACAATTGTATTTATGTAATATCACGTCTGGTGTCAGGCCTATGTCGATCGGAATAATCTGAGGAGACCAGACAAAACATTACAGAAATATATTTGTGTTTTACTGGAAAGCAATACTAAATTACTAACCGTATACCAATTACGCTGCAAAATGCATCCATAAAAATTTGAACATTCTGATTCAGAATCAAGTTGAACTTGCGAACATACATATTTTATCTATGGCCATACTTCGCTGAACATTGTTTTCCATAATTGATTTGACATAATAGTTTAGCCTCAGGCCATGACTGGCTGCAAATTTTCTTTTTACATTTAAGTTTCATTATTATTGATCTGAGCATTGTACAGTTATATTTAGCATATATATGAGAAGCAGTGACACCCATATCTGGTTAGTTGGGTATTCTAGGTTTTGATGTAATAAGGTATTCAGTCGAGGGACCTAACCGAAAACGCTAAATTTGTGGAAATTTTGCTAAATTGTTTTGTAGAAATGAGAAAAATGTATATTTTTGAATTCCAAACTATTTTTATTGAAATAATTTGGTGAATATAAGTTCAAAGTATGATTAGATAGCTTCTTAAAGAGCTCTTATTTTTTTGCAATATTTCCAAATAAATTTTGCATTTTTGTTTGTTTAAATTTACATTTGCCGACTTGTATTAAAACCCTCTCGTTGGGTTTTAGTGTTGCCTCAATGCCATATAGTATTTTTATTCCACATTCTATATTTCCAGTATGATAAACTGTCCCTTCGTTAAATATGGCCCAATTCAGAAAACTGTATGTTCAATATTTCAGAGTATTTCGTGAAATTTAACAAAATGCAAAAACTCTCCAAAATACATTGTTATTTAAAATATTCAAATTTGAATTAGATTGAATTCATGTTTTCAAAATCGGGAATACCACACTATCCAGATATGGACCTGAAGTGTAAACTTACTATACCTTATTGTGGTGTTACATTAACTATTATATGCTTTGCTTAGTAATTGCTAACAATATGGAATGCTCTATTTTCATTGTAGGTGCCATAGGCTAACTGCATTATAATCAGCATAGGCAAGTATTTTATGGATATTTGAAGAGGAGTACTAAAAGGTAGAAGAGATAATCAGGTATGGAATTGGTTTTTATATATATACCTAGCTATACATTTTCTGCTCCAAACAAGGCTTTTCACAAGCTCCACACTGTTATATGAGTGGCCACCTCATCTTTACATACCCATCCCACAGGAGAGGAAAGCCGATAAGCGAATCAATTAATCACATGGCAACCCACGATCTTTTGTCTGGTTATCAGTTCATGTCAGGTGTGATAAACCTGACACAGAAATAAACAAGTAACGTAAACTAAGAATTGTAAAGCAGCACGAACCAAAGAACGAGAATATCGGTCGGAGACCGAAGACTTATCGATCTTAGATCGGTAATTAGTTAATAACTCGCTAATTATACGACATAATTAACCCAAAATCTACAGGCTTCTGGTCCGAGGTAAGATGCATGCACATGCAAAATTTGGAGCAGATTCAACCACGCGTTCGCGAGATATCGCGTTCATCTAACAGACACACACACAGACAGACATACATACAAACAGACAAATACCTATCAATATACTTACCGATCTTAAGATCGATAAGTAATGACTTTCAAATCAAAACACCGTGTTATTAAAGGACGAACAGTATGCGTCTGCAGGGTCAAATGTCGTGACTGTTAAACGAGTTGGTAGATTTTAAGACACAAATCATCACGTTGCATATGGGATTCAGCAAGTTATCTGTTGCAGAGGCTTAGACTTGATGGTGGAGGAAAATGTAGTCGACTCCAGCAATCCTCTCGCGAGTAATTATCCTCACTTGAGATTCGAACCTGCAAACCCACACAGGGTAATCGGAAGTGTGGTGTTGAGCGTATTCCTAACGCTAAGCACGATTCGCCACACTGCCGAGCTCAATTGGTTAGGCAAATACCAATCCTGTCCCACCAGAAACAATAATTCCTCACATATCGTTAGATTTTGGTAGCCGTTCGCACCGGGCCATCTTTGATGTATAAATATGGACAGTATTTGAAAAAGTGGTCTGAATATAGCATTGTTTTCAGATTTTAATTTGTTCAACATGAGTTTGAAGAAAATTCATTTTATTTCGAATTTTGCAGATCAAAAAAAAAATGGGCAAAACAGTTTTGAAACTTGTTCGTCGCATAAATGACAAATTATCGAGGAAAAAAATTCTCTCAAAGGTGAAGAAAGAACCAAAGCGTAAAAACAGACTCAAACCACCTCCAGAGGTGACTAGAAAGAAACTCCAACCACCACTGGAAGGTTGGAAAAGAAAAAGGATCATTAAACTCTTCGAACAAGGGTTGAATGTCGTCGCGATCGCTAGAAGACTGGAAATTGCAAATTCATGCGCCAGTAGGATTTTGAAAAAGTATGTATTAATAATTTTTTGTATAATTTTTCATCAGATTCAGATATTTATTTTTGTCGTGCAACAAACATCACTAAAAATTGGATGAATTCATCGGAAAAACTTACAATGTTTCAACTGCAATAGACGAGGGGTTGCGAAAAGATTATCAAAGTCGTCGAGTCAGCGATACTATTTTCCAGTAGCATATGAAGATGCAACACACCACTGAGCCCATGTAAACCAGCCATAAACAACCGCTACCACATTTATAAGAAGTTGGGGTAGATCAGGGGTTCCCAAACCAGGGGTCGCGACCCCAAGTTGGGTCAGAGTGATAAGTAGGTAGGGTCACAAACAGGTCATGGGGTCGGTGGGGTCGCTGAGGTATGGTAGAGGATGGATGTACAAAACATCTAAGATTCGACAAACCATGTTAAATTTGACAGTTTGTACCGTGACTTACTGTAAAAAAAGCCCATAGGCATCGCTCTATGCTCATGCTATAGAAAATGTAGGTGCTTATTGTGACATTACTGTTCGGTTTCAGCCTATTTTACTTAATACCACCACATGGCCAAACTCAAAAGCTCCGTGAAAAAAGCTCCAAAGTTTCATGAAAAATATATATATTGACCTGGGGTCGCACTGGACACTTGAAAGTTGTCTTCGAGGTCGCCCTGAAAAAAGCTTGGGAACCCCTGGGGTAGACTCTAACCCAGTGGTTCTCAAACTGTTTGATAAATTTTGCATTATGGTCTCCTCACAAATTTTCTGATGACTTGTGGTCGACTGAAGGATTGAAATCAAATAGCAACGCAACCGGTATCAGACATTCATTTATTGCATGTAATTGTGCAGTTCAATGGATGTAATTGCTAAGCTTCCAGTAGTTTCTTCCGTTTTGAGTTCAGATTTGGACATTGCAACCCTCATATTATGTCTCATTCACTCATTTCAATTCTATTCTGGAAATTTGTTTTAATAGCGAGTAGCAGAGCAATTCATGTTTCAGCTTCTTTCTTGTGGAAAACCGAGTTTGTTTTCCCACGTGAATAGTAAAACTTCTATCTTCACTTCACTTCGAATGCTCTAAGCGCAATTTCTTATATTTTCCAGGTATCGCGAGACGGGGAGTCTTCAGCCAGGCGTTGCGGGGGCAGTAAGTAAAGTTTACACTCCTGAGATTGTGAAGAAAATTATTGAATTGAAACGAGAGAACCCAAACATATACGCATGGGAGATTCGAGACAGGTACGTATACAGTTTTCGGTGGAACTTTGGTATGCGATCTTAGAAGTTGTGGGATCTTAGTGATTTTCGTATTTTCATAACCAGGGTTGGGAGCTCTAATTGAAAATTGACTAAATTATCAGGTATTTGAAAATGCCCAGCCCTGATAAATTGCATTCGGGTGGTCGAAACCGGGAACCCAATTCCAAACCCAATTTCCAATGTTTTGGAATATTTGATGTGTAAATCCTTGCCCTGATTAAACTCTGTATCAAAGGCAAATGATGATCAGGATACCCCCGTCATAAGTGATTTGATGATAAACAGTCTCTTCACAAGCTGATGCCTTTGTTACAATGTGGGGAAATTGATGCGGGCCCACTTATTGATAATTGTACAAGTACACAAATATTTTGACTATTTTGTTCGTAGTAGAGCAAACTTTAAAAAGATAATGGTACAAGTTACCCTGCCGGTACTCCCGAAGTATATGAACCAAGATGGCAGACACTGGATCGTAGTATGTGTGCCAGGTTAGGGTTAGGATATAAATTTGTTAGGCCACAATTTTATTCCAATTTCCTTTATTTTTAGTTCGGGAGTTCCGGGGACTAGCCAAGTGACTCCCGTAGTATGTGAACCAAGATGGCGGACACCTGCACATAGTATGAGTACCAGTCCATGATTTTATTCAAATTTTCTTTATTTTAGTTCTATTACGAGTTCAGGGACTAGCCAAGTGACTCCCGTAGTATTTGTACCTGAAATTATGGCATGACCCTAACCTGGTACACATACTACGTTCCGGTGTCCGCCATCTTGGTTTAAATACTTGGGAAGTACCCAATTGCTTATGCCAGCGGGTTCCCAACCAGGGGCCTATGGCTCCCTCACAATCAGTACCAGTTAGGTATGCAATTGAGATCTTGTCACTCCAAGTGAGATTGTATACCAAAGTGTCACACGTTTTTCTAATAAATTCTGAAATAATTACTTCGGAAAAAAATCTTCCTGGTTCGGCATGGGGACACTAACATGATCCAAATCCAACATGCTTTAACCACAAGTCAAGTCAAGTTTATTTGTTCCAACTAGTAAAAAAAATATCACAAGCACAAATTATGAGAAAACGATAATTTACACAGTTTTACTGAGGAAGGGAAGTTGCGGGAAACCTAAGCTGGATATCGAGCAGCGACAAACAAGGTTTAAATATCTAACGGCTTCCTCCACCACCAAGTCCATGCTTCCGAAAACAAACAATATAACTAATCCCATACCCGACTTGGAATAGTAACCGGACGAGAGGCCGTGATTCGCCATATGAATAAGCCGTCTTATCGGCTTTCCTCTCCCTCCGGGATAAATATGTAAATCCTAAATCCTAAAAGTTAGAATTCTAGAGTTTTGAAACTATTGCTATTGACGCTGAGTATCGTATGAAATATCTAACTAACACCGCTTACCAGAGATTATTTAATAGAGGCCGCTAAATATTCTATTTTTCACAGGTTGATAGAGAAGCCTCCAGCCTCTTGTATATCATCGATAAATCGGATACTACGGCTGCACCGATCAGAGTGGAAACCGGAAGTGAGAGTTGTGAGACGGAGATATAAGAAACCAACGGCACTGACGCCGGAAGTAATCGCAAAAATAATGGAATATAAAACTGAATCTCCTCTGACTGTCGTTCGAAAAATTCGAGAACGTTTGTTAGCTGAAGGCATTTGTGACGACGATACTTTACCGAGTATTACTACTATACGGAGATACTTAAGAAAATCAAACATTTCGTTACGTCAGATTTTAAATCGAACCAGACCAGACGCTACTCTTGAATCTGATGTTCTATCTTCCGCTGAAGCGGATTACGAAGAAGATATGCCACCTAGTGGATTTAGGATAAGTGAAATAGATCACGAAGATGATACACCACCTAGTGGACTAGAGATACCTTCACTTCTACGTCGAGAAAATTTAACGACAAATCCAACAGCGCTGTATGAGGTACGCGTACTAGAGCAAAGCGCAACTGAGGCTAAGCCAGAAAATAGCTTAGTATCGTTAAATCGGATACGAAGGCTTCACCAATCAGAGAAAGAGCCTGAAAAAGGAGTTTCTAGAAGAAGTTATAAGAAACCAACAGAATTAACGCCGGAAGTAACTGCAAAAATAATGGAATATAAAACTGACACTTCTTTAATTGCCGTGCGAAAGATAAGGGAGCGTTTGTTCAATGAAGGGGTGTGTAACGACGATAATTTGCCGAGTATTACTACAATACGACGATACTTGCAAAATTTGTACATTTCGCTGCGTCATATTTCTAATCGAACCAGATTAGACGCTACTATTGAATCTGATGTTCTATTTTCTGCGGAAACGGATTACGAAAGCGGTATGCCACATAGTAGACTTAGGATAACGGAAATCGATTATGAAGACGATATGCCACCTAGTGGGTGTCAGGAAAATTCAACGACAAATCCAACTGCATTGTATGAAATTCAGATTCCAGAGCAAAGCGTAACCGGCTCTAAACCAGAAAGATCAGAATCTGAAATCGATGCACCATTTAGTGGTCATGACATACCGAAGAAAAATGTCACACCTGAAAAACGACGAAAAATCAAGATTAATCCACCAAAACGTAAAACTACAGTCAGCAAAGACTTTGTACAGAATAAACAATCAGAATTTGCTATTGATTTACCTTGTCAAAGCGACACGACTTTACCGCCCAAAAAGCGGAAGGCAAACAGGGTTCCCCATACTACTGATGTCTTCCCTTTTGGGGAACAGACTATAAATGTCTCTATTTTCAAAGACTTTCCTCAATTATGGGGATCTGGGGACTTGATTGACTATTCTCAGAAGCGAAATTCTCTGAAACGTAAAGTACCAATGCAGTGCTTAACTGGGCAAATCCCTGAAAGTGGGGATTCTGTCGATTCAAATGCAAAAAGGTTGTACAAAAAGTCTCGATCAGGGGACAATTCTCCTTTCAGAAATTTTAATGAATTAGAAGTCGCTGAGCCGTGCAAGGTCGTCAGGTTAAATGAAATTAACAATTATTCGTGTTTGAACACGCAGAACCAAATGAACCGTATCGTCTACTCCTCTAGCAGAATAAATGGGCCTAATTTCAATGAATCAGATTCTGGCTGCGCTACCTCGTCTTGGTCTATTGAACAAGACTCCGCCCACATTGAGGAAGAATCGATTCAACCAAATTTTGATTGTAAAATTGATAAATCGTCGCCGTCTTGGGAAGAAAAAAGCCTTGAGCAATTTATATCGACTCCAACCACTACCGATAAACTCAAACCACCACCTCTTGTGAATTGTTTCGGAAAACCTCCGAGGCCGATGCGACATCGGCACGTTAAATTTGAACTTCCAATGGAATTGCTCTCAAGCTAACGTTGGTGGGGAGAGAGCCCGAAAAAATTGAGCTCAATTATCGTCGATTGAAAAAGGTGTCGCCTTCGACACAATTAAAATTTCAGATTTATTTGTAACATTTCAATTATACCAATATCTCAATTATGCGTACCGGTATCGATCGGCCCCTTGAGGGCACTTTCCTGGCCTGCGAATATCCTTCTAAATTTGGCCCCCAAGTTAAATAACATTGGGAACTACTTAGAATATTTGAAATTGATTTTTTTGATATTTGGGCAATGTAGAATGATTTACTATTCTAGGATACTCAAATTGAATCCAAATACCGAATCCTATTCTATTTTTATACTTAGATATTTAAATAGTGGGAAATTCCCACCACATTGCTGGGTTAAAATTGTAAATGTATTATTGTCTTCTTATTTAATTGGAATTGTCCTGAGCATTGGATTTTATTTGACACGAACAGGTATTTTTCAGACCAATGGCGCTCCAGTTGCATGTTGCATGTGTACCAGGTTGAGGTTAGGCCATAATTTTGTTCCGATTTTTCGGGGACAAGCCAAGTGACTCTTGTAGTATTTGTATCTAAATTTATGGCCTAACTATAACCTGGTACACATACGACGTTTCGGTGTCCGCCATGCTGGTGCACATACTTCTGGAGTACCATGAAATTTAATGAAGCGGAAACTGAATCCTATTATCGGATTCTCTGGGACTTGAATCCTTTAGATTATGTATTCTGAATTGTCCACTCCTAATTCACATCTTGTGCTTCGAACAAGGCATTGCTACCCAACCTTTTTCACTTTGCACCCATTTTTTTTTGCCCAACCCACAATGAGATTGTGGTTGACATATGCGAAAAGAAACAATGTATCCCCATGCAATTTACCATTAACGCGAACTTTTAGCTTGCATACTGGATATTATTTGATCAGGTTGAGACAATCTCACGCGCAACGTAGTATTAAAACTCAACACATTGTGTTTTGGCTCGAAGTCGAGTCAATGTTGTGACCCAGTGGTTGAGAAGCACTGGCCTATGGGCATGTTTTTGGAACCAAGATATGCTCTCTGTGAATGCTGTGATGCCCATATAGTTGGGTCTAATCCAGACATGGCCAAAGTACGGCCCGCGGGCCGAATGCGGCCCCTGGGGTAATTCAATCTGGCCCGCCTGATGCTGCCACAACCAGACTGTGAAACCAAATTTTTATGTTTCAGCTCAAAATAGCTCAAGGAATTTGTTGAGATTGTGGTTAAATTTAGTTTTGGCATGAGGCTTATTGTTTTCCAACTTTGCTTTATAACACTGTAAATATTGTTCATAAAATGGAACTTTTTTTACGTCACACTTAATGGCCCACCAGACCACCTCTGGTCTAAGGCCACCATGCCATGTCGCAGGTGTTTGCTAAACACATTCACATTTTTTAGTTTTTTTAAATATTTTTTGCAATTGAATTGTGACGAAAAGAATTGCGTTAGACACAATCAATTTTTTTTGCATTGTGACATCATGGTTCATCTGTTCAAATATGGCCAGGGGAGGGCATAAGGGGCAGTAGCCAAAAGAGCTTGATCTTTATACATTGAAGAGGGGCGAGTATGTTGCTTGGTTTGATTCAATAATAATAGAAACACTCTTATATTTGACCATGTGTATAACAATGTCTATAATTTATTTAATTCCCCGAATTATGAAGTTAGGTATAAGGGTCATCATTATCAGAAACTCGCCTATGCAGCAGAAGAGTTTCACATGCCGCTGAATATGTTATATGGCCATCTATATTTTACAGTTACTTATATTTTCAGTTCTGTGTCAATCAAAACAATGGAATTATTATTTGAATATGGTGTTTTTACATTATTTGGTTATAAATTATAATTTTGATTTAATATATAAGATTGAAAAATTATGGAAGTGTACATTTTGTTTATGTGAAGCTGACAGATTTTGAAAATATTCGTTTTTTTATCATGAAGTCATGACATTCGAAAATGAAATTTTATTTGATCGAAACGACATTTGTGCCAAACACAATGAAAAATTATGGAAGTGTAAACTTTGTTTATGTGGAGCTGACAGATTTTAAAAATCTTCGTTTTTTTTATGATGAAGTCATGGCATTCAAAAATGATTTTTTATTTGATCAAAGCGACATTTGTTCCTAACGACAACTCCTCTCTATCTGCATTTGAATTAATGAATCATGGGGTTTAAAATAGAGAGTTAATAAATGCAGGTTGAAATGGAGGTTAAAACAGTCGCTTCGGACTTAGAATTATTGCAATGTTATATGTACTGTAATTTCAGTCATGTGTTATGTTAAGGTCTCCTTATTTTTGCAGACAATGTTCAATCATTGCTCATTGTTTGATTTTATTTAGAATTAAATCCAAAATGCACTGAATCGTTCAAGAAAGCAATCGCTTCAACAATCGAATCCCTCGAGCGTTTGATAACAAAATTAATAACTACAAATCATATAGTCCAGTGATTCCTAGACTGCGCATAACGATTTAATATTCCCGCCTAATTTAAGTGAAATAGTTTAACTGTATGTTTTTGCAGTCTAGATACCGTCAATTGTTCTGTCAACATCCCAATTTAAGCACGTGTATACTCGTAACAATTTAATCATACCATTATCTTAATTATATGTACAGGTTTTAACCCCCTTACGGGTGCTTCCCCCTTTCCCGGCCTGCAAATATCCTTTTGCTTCTAATTTTGGTCAATCAACTCGGTCAATCAACTTTGATTTTTTTCAAATTTTGGTTTAAACCAACCGATTCTCTTAGATTATTTTATATATCAGGAGTTTTCATTTGGGGCCCTTGGTCCCCGAGGGGGCTATGGAGCCGATGGAAGGGTCCCACAATGCTAGACGCAAAACTGATTTTTCTATTTTTTCCTTTACAAGAAAACTTTCTTCCTAGTTTCATTGCTTGATAAGGTTATTTCACTTCATTGAGCATGAATTGTTGGAGCATAATGGGATTTGGAATCTATGAATCATATAAATACCACTATAATGATAAACAGGGCCTATAAGGTTGGGAACCACTGTTTTTTATTATAATTCAGAGCCGGAATTTTGTTTTTCCTATCATCCGAGTCAATGCACTTGACTAGGTCTTTTCGCCATAATGTCTCTCCCCCAGGGCCATGATAGACTTGAACTACCATTTTTCTTTCTTGTTATTTATAAATGTTAGTTGTTTTATCATGCCAAACATTTTTTTTTCGTTATTGTGTTATGTTTTTCCGTTGAATGTGAATAATAAAATTGGTTTATTCGGAGTTAACAGGTTGGGAGTCTGTATCTTCCAGGGGGGCTTGCAGATGGCATTTGCCTTTGATAGTGTTATGGATGGCACCCTATATCGTAACAGTACAGTTGACTTGGGTGGGGCATGGGTTCTCATCTGAGGGCCGCAGAGCAGTTGGAGGAGGCCATACAGCTGAGCGCAAAACTGATTCTACTCTCACTTCACAAGAAAACTCACAGCTCATTGCTCGATAAGCTTATTTCACAGGGTGTTTTTACTTTGTTGGTCACGAATTGTTTCAACATATTGGGATTTGGAATCTACCAATCAAAACAACTCTCTAAATACCAATGGAATCACAAACAGGGAGGCCATGGGTGCTAAACCTCCTCCAGAACCCATAAAAGGTTTGGAACTATTGTTATAAGGGATTCTTAAACCACGAAATGAGCAAAACTGTAGGGAAGAAGTGAATAAAGCAAGAGTTGGTGTTTATTAAAGGGCTTTCACAATCAATATACTGGCTTAGACAAAAGAAACCTACAGATAGGTTGCCGTAGAGAAGCCAACAAGAATGCTGCTTTAATTGCCAAAGCCATGTCTATTCGGCATAATTATTAGGACATTTGAACTTGGCAGTTTTAGGAACCCAGAACGCTGGAGGCATGGTCTGTCATGTTTCTATATATATTTGAACTGGCGTCATCATTTTAACTCATTGTGGGGTGCTCCAGAAGTATTTGTACCAAGATGACGCACAGCCTGAACAATCTAACCTGGTACTATGTTCAGGTTGTGCACCATCTTGGTACGAATACCTCAGGAGACACCCATTTTGGAGTCCATAGGTTGTAGTCAGGGAAGGACAATGCCAATTTCAAATTTTTTTCCATTTGCCACTTTACAGATAAATTCTCATGCCAGAAACTGGACGTTTTCTGACTTAATATCAATAATCCTTTGCCAGACGAACCAACCTGACCAGTGATAGGAACAGGTTCTTTTTTGTATCGAACTCACTAACAGCAGATTTCCTCATTTTAGAAAAGATTCACGTCACTAAGTGAGCTTCATCAACATGATTCGCTTTACATAAATCTAATACATGCATCCAAACGGCAAATATATTGCTAGTCGTCAGATGCTATGACAGTAGTTTCCAACTTTTTATGGCCAATCATCCAGTGGCATAGCCAGGGGGGTGGTTTTGCGGGTCGAACCCCCCCCCCTTTTTTAACATGTAAAAAAAATAAAATCATTTTTCTGTATCATAGATAGCAGTTTTCGTAGCTTAAAATGCTTTTTAGACCCCTAAGACTAAAATACATGCATATTCCAGCGATTGATCAGACCCGCTAGGTAGTTCGATCTACCCATTTCAAAGTCTCTGGCTATGCCCCTGCAGTGGTCCTCTTCTGGAGACTTTCAGCACTCAAGGCACATTGGCACTCTGTTTATTGTTACAGCAGAATTATGATTATGAATCCTATGATGTTCCAACAATTCATGCTCAACATCAAGGCACATTGGCATTCTGTTTATTGTTACAGCAGACTTATGATTATGGATCCTATGATGTTCCAACAATTCATGCTCAACATCAAGGCACATTGGCATTCTGTTTATTGTTACAGCAGACTTATGATTAAGAATCCAATGATGTTCCAACAATTCATGCTCAACATAAGGAAAACAACCTGTGAATTAACCTTATCAGTCAATAAACTGGGAATTTTCTTGTAAGGTAAGAGTAAAATCAGTTTCGCGTCTAGCATTGTGGCTCCCGCCAACTACTCAGCGCCCAAGAGGTCGTCTAAAAGAAGAATGGGTCGCTGATTATCACGACATATCGTTAACGCTGTACTTCACACTTACATTGCCCGCTACTCAAGGTGGGCTAAATATTTTGGCCCCTTGCCCAAGCCCTCTTTACTAACCACTGATTATTAACCGTCCTATCGCCCCAACCTAACGATACTAAAACAAAATCAATGCAAACAGGAAAGTTGCGCTGATTATTTGCTTATCCTTCTTCTATGCTTATGTGCCGGTGGATCCGTATGCATATATTGCAAGGATGCTGTAGCAAGAGTAGAGATAACAATCCTAAGTGATTCAAGAGTCTTTCTGCACACTAACACAAATATATTTCTGTAACGTTTCGTCCGACCAAGGTCAGACTTCTTCAGACATACATAGAAAGTGTTAGCTATTCATCTTTAATAAAAGCAAAACCACTTCTAATTAAAATTGTGACTTAGATACAGTGCATGTGATGACTAAAAAGACTCAGTAATTAGTCAAAGAAATTGTAGATTATATGATACATGGCTACATCATCTGATATACAGTTTTATTATAACAATAAAACCAATTAGAAAAAAATTAAAATGACATACTGTGGATATGAACTAGGTTTGTGATTAAAAAATAGAAAGTGATACAGGGCCAGAAAGGTTCTCCTAAAAACAAGCTATTGCCACCCACACACACCTCCAGAAGCAAATCATAATGCGAAAAACATTTGAGCATAAGAAGAATAACGGTAGTAGGGTAAAACAATCATGGTGGGCCTACTCGTCTCAGTGTGAAATTTGCCTTGTATCGCTTAGTATATAAGGTGACCACGTAAAAATTCGCAGATGAGCCGACCCTACAAATTGTTAATATAGAGAATTAAAGAAAACTGATAACCATTATTGTTATTTTGAATTGGGTTGCGCGAGACTAACCACCTGCAAGGATGCTGTAGCTGGAATAAACATGACTATTCCATCCGATTATAGAGTCCAGCTGCACACTAACACAAATGTATTTCTGTAACATTTGTCCGACCAAAATCAGACTCTCAGACAAGCAGTTTACAACAATGGCAAGAAATGGTTCCATTTCTTTTATTAATAATAGTAAGAAGTCAAAGTTTTGCTTGTATAAGTCGAATTTTTAGTGTGATCAGAGTTAAGCGTGTATAAGCCGACCCAAGTAAATTAGGATTTATGTAATATATAATGTGCGTGGCTCAAGGCGTTGGTAGTTGCGAAATATTGTAGATTCTATAATAAAATGAAGCATCAGCTGTATGGTAACATCGTGAAGATAAAAATAATTAAAATCAGAAGTGACAATAAAAATACGATATAGATATATTGAACTTGATTTAATTACAACGAACTTCATGAATAAAAAAAACAGTCGTTTGAAACAAGACATGGCCGCCACTAAAAATATTAGGAGATTATTTTTTAAACAAAATTTGAAATAAAGGCTATTAAAAAAATATTTTTCTCTCCATATGTAATTTCCGACATTTTTACAGTCAAATTAATATATATACCAGAATTCTCATTTTTTTCCCAATACAACGACTCTAAAGCCTGCTAACATAAACTTTTCTCCATATTATTTTGTCTGGTAAAAATTTTTAGCAAAAAAATCATCAATTTTCCAGTTTCTTTGCTGCTCAAGCAGTTGTATCATTTTTTGTCAGTGCAGATTGGTTGAGCCCTGTGAATTGAACAACTTCAGTAAATTTTTTATACTATAGAATAGATCGGATAAATTTTACATATTTATCTCCTGTGAGGAAGAGGAAAGCCGCTAGGACGACTTAATCATATGGCGAACCACGGCCTCTCGTCCGGGTATCATTCCATGACGGGTATGGGATAGTTAGTAATTAGTTTTCGGAAGCATGGACTTGATGGTTGAGGAACCAACCAACCAGCGGCTACCAGCAATCCTCCAGTACATGACTATCCCTGCATGGAATTCAAACATGCGAACCCACACAGTGTAATGAGGGGTACGTACAGTGGCGCTTACAGTCCTAACGCTTAGCACAATGCACCACACCAGCGAGCCTTCGAATTGACCAAAGACTCAGATAACCTGTGAAAACTCGACTTTGGAACTTCTATCCTTCACCCCAAGGTAAATACGAAAAAATCCTATCAATAAATCTTAAAATTTGCTGGGAATCAGAAGTGACGAATCCACATGACTCAAAGTTCACTTTCAAATCAGGGTTTGAAGACTTGAATTGGACTCGACCTTCCCTTGGGACAAACAATTCTATCCTCCTTACGCGGCGGTGTAGCTCAATGTGCTAAGCGTTAGGCATACGCTCACTACTGCACCTCTGATTACTCTGCGTGGGTTTGCAGATTCAAATCCCAGGCTGAGATAGTTAAATGTGCGAGAGGATTGCTCGACTTCTCGCCACCGTAGGGTGGTTCACAAAACTGCTCGTCAGTTACGACTTCCTCCACCATTAAGTCCATGCTTCCAAAAACAAGCAACTAACTAATCCCATACCCGACATGGATTGCTAACTGGATGAAAGGCTGTGGTTTGCCCTATGGTTAAGTCACCTTATGCTTTCCTCTCCCCCAGGATAAATATGTGAATCCTAACCTATCAATATATTTTATACTTACCAAGCTCAGGGTATGGGCAAACTAAATTTTTTCTACGAAAATATTCATGGTCGTCGATTTCCGTTATGCTTGGGCGCTCATGTGGATCCAACCGTAGCATCCAACGAACCAAATCTTTAAGTTTTGGCTCCGATTTCAATTTACTCAAATCACATTCTTGGTAATGCTTTATATTGAGATTCCTACGATCTGGGTCATCACCAAACGGATGAGAGCCGTCAGTTTGAACAAAATATATCAGAAGAGCTAGAGAGAATATGTCAGCTTGCTTCGTACGGACATTTGTGTTGTACATCTCTGGCGCCCTCCATCCATTAGTACCAACGCACATATTTTCTGAGCTAGTAACAGATTCTCCGTTCATGACTTCACGACTCGAAGAAAAATCGATTAATTTCACTTGGCTGCCACCCAGTGATATTAAAATATTTTCAGGTTTTAAATCACAATGAACGACATTTTTTCCATGAACATGCAAAATGACTTCGACAAGATTTTCGATGAGTTTTTCCCTGAGTCTTTTAGTTATTTCCGTCTTTTTTATGAATTCTGCTAAATTATCGTTCCCACACAGCTCCATTGCTATGTATATATGCTTGA